GTTAGCTCTATCTCTGATATTGAGCGCTTTCTAATAAATGTCGCGCATATAATATATAAATAATAATATATATAATATATATATTACACACACACATACACACACATATATATTTATATCTATACACACACACACAAATATATATATATATATATATATATATATATATATATATATATATTAAAGTAACGAAAATCGTGGTAATCCGTATGGATAATCCCAAGGAGGATGACATTCGGAGAGCTCAATGTTAATTCCGAGCGAATAATTTAATTTAAAGAAAAAAACAGACCATTTAAGCTTCCATTGCTATAATTTATTTCACCAGAGATTTTATTTTTGTCTTTCAAGGGCACGTAAGTGAATGTAATGGATTCCACCCGGCTCTCCAATTCTTTAAACCTAGCCGCTATCGATTACTCCACCGAGCCTCCGTGTTATAGATCCTATTTAAATTTGGTGCCTTTTACATAGCGGCTAGTATTAATGAATTGGAGATCCGAGCCGAATCCATTACATTCACTTTCGTGCTAATACCCCTGGGGAAGGTATAAATCCTCTTCTTCTCCCGCGAGCTATGGGTAGATAGCAGGACAGACCTGGTTCTATAGCCTTGGATTCCAACTTGTCTAGCGCCTAAAGAAATGGCAACCTACTGCGGGAAAAATCTGTCTCGTCAGTCATGTATCAAAAAATACATGATCGCCTAAGCGTGTATCAACACATGGCACATAACTGTCTGAAGTGAAAATATTTTTGAAGAAGATTTCTGTAATATTTAGGATATCAGCAAATGGTTGTGTACATTGCTCTCAATACCATTTTTAGACTGTATTTCAATAATTAAATACGATTATTTCTTTTCCAAAACGTTACGAATATAAAAAATTCGGTCAGTATTTATGCTCAAGTAGGACCGGTAATGTTTGATTAGATTCCGAGGAGATCGCTGTCGCTTTGTGATAACGACTTGTCACTCAATCTCCACTGCACACCTTTTGCATTATGGCAAAAAAAGCATCAATAATAATAACAATAAAAACAACAACAATGATTCTCATTCGATGATTGTTGATTTGACGTGTTAAAATTTACAAGTTTTCAGTTGTTGAATTAAGATGTGATACAATACATAACCTTTCAGTACACTGGATCTGTTTTAACTAAACTTGGATATATCCATTCACTAATTTTTTTTCAGTTCAGGAGGGTAGTAATGAAGATGCATCATGGCTGGGTGTTTTTTTTTTTTTCTTCTTCATAAACTTTACGCTGCAGACAAAGCGACATGAGTTATATCCTAAATTGGATACTCTGCGCGGACTGCGTCAGACAATATAACCACATTTCTGAGTTCCACCTACATGTTTATGCATTGCTTTTATCAAAACCTGTGGCCATTTCCCGCACTTATCAGACTGGATGTCATGACGGTTATATTGCGTTTCTTATATTTATATATAAGCGAAATATTTTTAACTTGGGTCTTATGAAATATTATTTTTTTCTAGCCATTCAGTCCTACTAAACACATATTTCAATGAATGGAATTGATACAAATATCCTTTTAGTGCAATCGCTAAGGAAACAGTTAACAATCTACTTTCTGGATGTTCTTCACTAGTCATAAAATGAAATACTCGCCAACATTATAACCTTATTACTACTACTACTACTACTTCTTCTTCTTCTTCTTCTTCTTTTTCTTCTTCTTCTTCTTCTTCTTCTTCTTCTTCTTCTTCTTATTCTTCTTCTTCTTCTATGTGTCATGTTCTATTAAGAGGTGGGCGATCTCTTCAGAATTCCTTTAATTAAACAAAAAATGACATGAAGACAAACTACCAGCAGGGATAGAAAAAGGAAATGCCACTGTCCTCTGGGATGTCAGGAGCGCACGATAGAAATAAATATACCAGAGCAAATAATAAAATACTAAACAAAACGTACGGATTATATAATATACATGGCAATTCAGTTTGATAAGAAAACATTTCTGCAGAAGAATTTAACAAACTTTAAAAATATAAAATATGAGAAATTGCCAGAAAGTTGCATTTAAACACAATCTCAACTCATATAATAATACGAACATTAGGAATTGTTAAAACGAATACTGCTACAAAGAATATAAATATCCCAATAAATCACTCACTCTTTTACACATGAGCACCATTCATATTCATGATAAAAAAAAACATAATATGCTTAATAATTCTTTAAAAAACAGCAACTTTTGTAACGATAGTAAAATATTTTCTCAAATCAAGAAAACTGAATATAATAATAGTGTAAAAAGACGAGTGTACAACTTGTGCATAATGAAGTAAGTGGAATTCATTCACATTATTGTGGGTACATTTGCCACCATAATTTCTCAATTCCCGAAAGTAGCTGCACAAGATTTAGTTCAATGACATGATTGGACGATTACAGATGATTGCACTCTTTATGAATATTCGTCTATTTAAAAGTGTTCTTGAATCATGGTAAAAAGCTGTCATCTCAGTCCAGTCGTTGTAGACAGCTGAAACTTGGATTAAAACAACAACATCTGAAAATAAACATTAAAGAATCTGGAATTTATATCTACTAAGTGTTGAAGTCATAGTAGGAGGGTAAGAAATCCTTAAAAGCAAACATATATTCACAAATTAAGTTAATATCAGGAAAACTATTTATCTGAAATATAAAAGACTGCATTTATGTTTACGGTTCACAATATTACAAAATAATTCTATCCAATATTTTCATTAACTTCCTAGCAAAAATCTTCATTCGCTTTAGGACTCAAATGAAAACTTGCTTAATGATTGTATCAAGCTGTAATAAATAAATAGTAGGTTGTCATACATGAAATGCCGCATTTTTGGCTGGTTTTTGATCCCGACGTCAAACGAAGTAACCTCCTTTGTATATAAAAATCATTGACATATTCCTGACTCTCCTTTTAGGATATTTTTTTCTTTCAATGTGTTGTTACTCATAAGCCCAATGAAAATGATTACAATGAAACAATTTCGAGTAATCTTACTGTATGAGTACAAACTGAGAAAAAGTACCATTTCTGAATCGAATCGTTATATGCAATGAGAAATGGGTACTATTTAACAGTAGTAAGAGAGTAGGCCAGGGATTAGATGAAAGTTAATCACAAAAACAATATCCAAAACCCCCACTTCACCGTAAAACGTACATGGTTGATGTACGGCTGTCTTTCAAAAGAGTTATTGATTATTCATTCTTGCCTCAAGGGATAACAAATACAGCAACTAATGTTGTGGAGTAATTGAATGTATGCACTAGAAATTAAAAAAAGAAACATATTGGATATGTGAATAGTGATGACCAATTTTTGCTGCACGAAACCGCATGGTCACACGCTTATCAATCTACTGTCAAAAAGCTGCATAGCCTGAATTATATTTTGCCTCATCCTCTATATTCACCTGATATCTCTCCCACTGATTATCACTTATTTAAGCATTTTGAGCTTTTCATATACAGTAAAACATTTCCCAATCAGGAAGATGTAATTGAATACTTGAACTGTCTATCATATCAAAGGAAATGGTGAGAACAAGAATTTAGAGGTACGATTGAAAAATAGTCATCCATCAATATGGAACCTGTTTCAACTAAATAAATTTGTTATTTAACACTTCAGAAGCGTTTTCTTCATTTCCTATAAAGCGTGCCATTTCATGTGTGACAACCTAATGTTAAATTGAGGACAAAGAGAAATAAAACTGGTAAAATTAATTTGCATATGTTAGATTTTCTCATATAATGCAAGTCATGTTTAGCTGTATAGCTAAAAAAATCACTATCAGAAATAAAACAGATAAAATCAGAATAATAAGGTAAAGGCCAAAACTGAAAAGCAAAAATAATATAACTGTTAATGGTGATTAAGAAACATAATATGAAGAAAATTTCAACCGCCAGCTATAATTCCAGACATAGCTCGAGTAATGAAACTGCAAACATCTAGGTGGTTAATTCTGAAGTAGTTATCAACAAGTACTATATTAAAAGAATGAGTTATGCGAATAATGATGAGGACTGGATAGAAATAATACTCACAAGCAGAATAACGATAAAAAGAAAATAGAACAAGTCCAAAGGATTGCAACTACAACAATAAGAAGAATAGACCGTAAGAAGTTAAAGAAGGAAAGGTAGCGAGGGCGTTGGAATGTCTAGAGTGGTGGGCAAGTGTAAGATGTTGAAGAAAGGTGTGCCTTTGGAAGAGCTGAGGTAAAGAAGTAGAATGAATGCGAACAATGAAAACAAAATACAAATAATGGCTAACAACAGCCATTCGCTGTGGAAGGCAAGTCGTAAAGCCCAAATGTGTCGGCAGGCTGAATGTGCGGGAAATGAGTTTTTGGCCGAGGGGAAAACTGGCCATCAGCGAAAGAAATTGAGAATAGTGGAATGAGATGCAATAATGACTCGCGTATAAATCAACCAAAGATCTCGACCGCATTGCATTTTCTCTCACCTACTTCACATGCGTCCAGTTGCGCATGCACTTCTTTTTCAATGCTTTCCCAATTTCGCCTACTCTTTTTTCGTTTCTACCACCCTTAGGTTGTGGTTTAAATTCGCATGTTATTCGCATGTTATATTGAGTAACTCTTCGATTTCTTTCTCTACGCTTTTCATTAATTTTGATCGTCTTTTCCTTTTTTTAACCTTTAAATACCGTATATGACATATATTCGGATTTTTCTGAGGAATAATTATTCACATTTCAGCCAAGTTTCATTACTGATTGATCTTTTTTTGCCTTACTTTGATTTCTCTCTTCGGTTCTACTGCTACCTCCCTTTTTTGGACTTGGGTAAATTGTCTAACATTTCAAAATTATTTCTGATGGAATTTATCCAAAACCTCTTTAAAAGTTTCGCCATATTATTTTATTTGTTTTGCGCTTTATGGTTAACAGCCATTTTTGTCTATTTTATTTGCTTTCTGTTATTCATTCACTACAAAATATGCTTCTTTATTTCTTTCTTCCATTTGATTTCTTCCTTCCTTTCTTTCTTCAATTTGGTTTCTTTCTTTCTTTCGTTTCATTTTCGTATTTTTACCCCTCGTCCCATTTACTTAATTATTTCACAATTTTTCCCCCATGACTTTTTAAGCCCGTTTTACTTTCTAATACGTTTCCTTACTTCATTCTCACTGTACTATTTTTCTTTCTTATACTGTACTATATATATATATATATATATATATATATATATATATATATATATATATATATATATATATATATATATAATCTTTCCCTGGGAAATTAACGTTTTTCATTTTACTTTTTCTTATTTTCCTTTCTGTTTCGTTATTTTGTTTTAAATTTGTCATATTCATTTTTACGAGAGTTTCATCTTTGTACTTTCTTTCTGTGATAGCATTATATGTTTCTTATATTTTTCCTTCTATGTTCTTTTCTCCTGCCTTCTTTCCTATTTTCTTGTTTTTATTTTTGTTTTCTTCATTTTATCTTATTTCTTTTACATTTTTGTTTATTCTTTCATTTCTTCCTTCCTTTCATCCTGTTTTATTTATGTATTATTTCATCTCTAGCAGTCTCTCAAGCCAATTATTGTTGTTTCTCTGCCATATTTAATACAGTATTTCTTACTTTTTTCCATCGTTCATTTCTATTCTCTTCCTTTCTTTTCCTTTTTCTTTTATTCATTCTACTATGTTTTAACGCAGTTATATTTCTTTCTTTGCTAATTTAATTCTTTGTTTGTGTCTTTCCATCAAGCACTTAAGTCCATTATTTCTTCCTTCAATTCGTTTCCCATCTTTTATGTCCTTTGGTTCCTTCGCATCCTTTCCCTATTTCCTCTTATGTTACTTCATTTCTTTTCATAATACCGCCGCAATGGCCTCTCTCATATCTCAATCTAAGATGCAAAAGCAACGACCACCGCTTCATATATCACAAAAATACCACTAAAGTCAATAAGAAGAGCAATAAAAAAGATAATAATAATAATAATAATAATAATAATAATAATAAAAATAGCATCAAAATATTGACCATCGCTTCCACCTAGTCCGTTATTTACTCGACAACATCCAACGCTTCCAGTGCCACAACTCGAATGATAACGATAGAAACATGCAAACTAACATCCATAATAACACTTCAGATAACCCGGGAATGTATGTCCATCTAATAAATTATACTGGATCCAAGCATCCTTTAAAAAGTACCATTTGCAGAGACTGATAACGCCCGCAGAGAACCAATCAAATTCAGGCAACAAGCTATCCCGCTCTTGTACCCAGCGAAAGCAGAATTATGTCCATATATATGCGAGCGGTTATCCATTAAACAGAAAGAACGCACACCCACGCTTGAACAAAGCAGCACTTTCACAGATACAAGACAAATCAGAGATATCACGATTACATATTGCTGCCTTTAATATGCTATATACTGCACATGCATACTTATAAAGACGAGAGGTATATACGCTTAAGTGAAAACATGTGTTTCGTTATTTGCCCATAATATCGCTTATTTATTTTAATAGATTACAATGAATACATAGACTCTAATATCTTTCAATGTATTTCGCATATTCTTTCATTTTATTTTTACTTATTTGTTCTTTAAATATTCATAAGTTCCGATTTTCATTTAGTATACATTTCTTACTAACTCGAATGGTTGTTTCTCAAACCAAACTAGAAATCCCTGATTACAAATGCTAATTTCCTCAGCAAGGAAACTTCTTTTATTTTGTAAAGTATTGTTTTATGCTTTGTAAATATTAAATCTTATGCTGGACGAATATAAACTTTTTCCCTATATTAAATAATATTATTTTAGCATAATATTTGTAAAATTAATAAATAATTATTTTTTAATATAATATATATTTATTTATCTTTCCGATAGCAGTTGATGCAAAAGAATAACTAAATGAAATAGTGTTGTAAACAAGAAAAATGTATATTGAAAAAAAGAAAAAAACCAGAACAATACAATCTATGAACAGAACAAAAATTTGAGAAAACAGAAAAACTTCCACGAATTAATTACTTGAATATTTTTTATGTACCGTGTCACTTCAGGAGGTGGGCGATCATAGCACTCTAGAACGTTCTGTCCCTACTAGCTGCGATCAACGTTTGACATATTACTATCCATTCTAATCCCTGTTCTGTTATTCATTTCTAAGGACGTTGCTTGCTGTTTCTCGCTGTACCTTCAGTATACCACATGAGTGTTACATTTGCCAAGTTATTTTCTACATTATGTATCCTAGAAAATGTAACGGCTTCTTTCTGAATCTACTTAAAAGCGTCTTTTTTGTTTCCATTTTTCAGTAAACTTCAAAGTTAATCACATGTTCAGTCGACAGTATTCTCAGTATCCATCCATAGAACCATAGTTCTGTTGCCCAAAGTCTCGTCCTCATATAAGAATAAATTATCCAACATTCTCTCCCTTATAGGAGGACTGATTTTCAGCACTCGTTGTTTCTAACTAAATTTTCCTGTTTCTAAAACTTTACTTTATGAAATCATCTTTTTATATTCCAACGCGCCTTCGGATTTTGGTGACACGTAATCTGTTATCTTTACAAAACCATTTTTACAGATATTTGCATTTTAATAGTTATTTAATTTTGACATCTCCGATTCGTAGCTCGCATCGTGGGCTGTTCATGTTACAGACTGCCATACGTTCTGCCTTCTTAGAACTAATACTTAGTCATTTATTCTCGATTGCCTTTGCTGTATTTGCTATGAGTTCCTGATGTTTTCATTCCGCGTCTGCATCAACACTGACATCTGCAAGTCTTATTTTGTTAAAATTAGGCTCAGCAATAATAAATCCTGATAGAACGTCCAGTTCTGCTACAATCGCTTCGCTCTAAACGTTGAATTAATCTTTTGAGAAGAAGCTATCTCATCTTACGCTCAATTCAATACTGAAATTTATAATGTAATTTTTTAAAAAATGAAAGAAATAGAATGGAGTTAAAATTTGAGCTGAAGGATCAGTTGGCTTTAGTGGAAAAACTATGTCTGAGATTGCAACCGATCAAGAAAAAATCACCATGTGAAAAAAAAGATTGGTGAAAGCAACGATAAACAAATGTCAAAAATGCACATATTACATGCATCATAGAAAAGGACCTGTGGAGTGATATAGATCCACAGTTGACACTTACAACCGGATTAAATGAAGAACTAGCAAAGACATACATTCTCCCGCATATAAATTTTCTCTAGTTTCGCTGTGAATACAGAACTATTGCATTATGCTTAAATCAATATTTCTGATTTGTTGTCTTCAGTTCTGTCACTATCTAAAGATCACAAATTTATTTTCATATTATATTATTTTATGAATAGTGCATAAGCTTATTTTGAATTTCTCAAAGCTAAAACCATTGAACTTTCTATAAATAATAATATTTTTTTCCAGCATAAATTTGAATAGCATTCCATGATATTCACAGTGAATAAAGGTAACAGAAAATATGAAAACAACCTACACTATAATTGATCTTAGTAATAAGTCAACTGACTCATACAGTTTGGCCTCTTAAGAATTTCAGTTATGTGCCGTCTTTTGCGTTACCTCTGAAAGGATAGACGTTATCACTTTCTGTTTCCTTCCTTTTCTCATTACAATTTCTCTTCGGGATGTGTGGAATACTGGCTTTCCATCATTGTTACGTGATACTGCTCTCTCATCCGTTTACTTAAATTTAACAAGAAGGCTACTTACAATTTTACCCACTTCTCTTGCTTTCCTTCCTCAGTCTTCTTTTATTAGGTGATGTTGTCTTGTAGATCGTGTGTGATCAGGCGTCTTCTCAACCGCTATCAATTGTAGCTTTAATCGCCCCGTGACTCTTCACCATTGTTTTTGCCCACGTATTGCTTTCAATCTACCCATTCCCATTAGGTAGTTTGCTTGCTGTTCCCCATTGCTTGTCCTTTCTTAAATGTCATATAAGAATTAAATTCTCTAATCGCACTTTTGTCATAATGCGTTCAAGAGTTTTCAATGTCTCTTTATGATTTCAAGTATTAGTTTCTTCCTATTTACACCATATTCCGACTATGACAACTCATATTTGATATTGCTATCACAAGGTTTCGGCCGTTGTACCTTTCGGTATTCCTCAGGTGGATATCAGTCTGGTTAACCTAGAGGGAATTATGAACTGAAGCCTCTATAAATCTATTGCGTTCTAGTTCCATTGCTCATGTCTATTGATATTTCATCTAGTTTTTTTTTTTAATATTTAGTGCTTTTCAGTTGTTCACGCTTTTCCAGGAATTGAAATCACAATTATTATGTTGCCAAATTTATGAATCAAGGCTTTAATTCACTAGAATATTGTCCCGTAGAACAATTCCCCGTTGTAGCCTTAAACCTAACCTGCCTGCTCAGTAATTCTGTTGCATGTTTGAAAAGTTGCTGTCATTTGCATTTCTTTATTAGCGGCTCCCATATTGTATTTATTTCCATGCTGGGCCTACTAACAAGGTTCTCATACCAAAGCATATGTGCTGATTCTTTCAGATGTCTAACTCTCCAGTTTTATTGTCTTGTATTTTCACTTCATTTGACCGTAGCTAATGACTATACCTTTCCAATCATATATGATCAGCCATGCCCGATTTCATTGTCTCACCACTCGCTTTTCGATGTTCCTTCAGCCTTACTTTTACAGAGAGAATTTTTCACATTTATATTTTTTACATTCTTCAATAAATCGTGTGCATGCAGTTATTGGTCTTGTCCTCCACCGTGTTATGCTTTATTTGGCAGAGTTTGAAGTTGCTTCTGAATATTGTCTTGATGATCTTTTCCGATAAGTCATTGATGTAAGGTAGAAAGACCGTGGTAATTTTCTGGTCTTCCTCCTTCAGCCTTCTCTTCCCTACTGTAGACGCTGAGGTTATGTTTACAGGAAAGTTGTTATTTTGAAAGGTAGTCTTCCTGCGGATCATTTTATGGCGGTACGTGTCCAGGTCGCCACCTATGATTTTTGACTGGTTTAATTGTGATTTCAATCTCTGGGCCGGGTAGTGTGTACTTGGACTCAGCGGAAAAAACGCGGGCAGTAACTGAGAAGTATTAAAATTAAGAATTAGATGAAATCTGCCTAGACATGGGCAGTGGATCGAGAACAATCTTCATTCGTCGATTAAATAAAGGGTTCAATTCAGACTTCCCTGCAGGTTACCCTGATCTATATAAAGCTGATGAAGCCCGAAGAGCACAACGACTGAAATCTTGTAATAACAATAAGGAAAACAATCTGAATGTAAATAACGTAAATAATGATAAATCTTCATCCCAGAAATCAAGCCAGAATATATTTATTGTTCCCTTTTCATTTAGAAGTTCCTCGTTGCTCACAAAGTTATGTCCCAGATATTTTCTGCATTTTTTTATACAAGTGTAACTCTTGTTACTTTAAACGTTATATATTTTTTTAGTGGATACCCAGTATTATTTAATAAGATTTATAGAATGTCCAGGTCTATAGATGAAATAAAATACTATTTAAAGAATAAACGGAGCGTCTACTGAAATATGAATGTCCACTAAGAAAAGAAAATGTTTAAACTAAGAAAGGTTAAATAAATTAAGTATAATTCTAACGCTTGGAGTCTTTTCTACAGCTGTAAGGAAAATTTCACTTTACATATTCAGATTGCTAAGAAGTTTCATTTTATTTACTATTCTTAAAACCTTTTCGTTTTTCACATTCTGTATACAGTATTAGATAGAAAAACCACATATCTCTCTACAAACTTTTTCTCAATGGTGATCTATCAAACAGTCAATGCCATATAATAAATTAGACAAATAAAATAGTTCAGATTTTTTCTTTTGAGGAGATTTTAAATACATTAGCAGTGTATTCATTTGCTATTCTATGAGTCTTCGCATTTCTTTTTTGCAATATTTGT